AGATTGTTATGAGTTTATTTAAATAGTTTACGAAATGTCCTATTCTTTCATAAATTGTCGGCTCAATACATTCTTGGGATGAATTTTGTCTGCATTATGCTTCTTGAGAGAAAGGTATCTGAAACATTGGAGAACGTGCACAAGGTAGGCTATGGTAAGTTCTTTTCATAATAATGTCTTATTTCATGTATATTTTTGGAAATTCTCTATTTCCTCTTAACATCTTATTCACATTTTACTATGAGTTTTTTTACATACTACCTCCGTCCCAAATTGATTTGCAAATTTGACTTTTCTTGATCAAACAATTTCATTTTATTTGCTTAATTAGGATGTCAGTTTTTAATTATATTCTAATTTGGAGATTACAACTTTGAAGGGATTTTAATGTAGTTCCAGAATATGTAAATTTGAATTATTAAAAATTGAATTAATTGTCGATAGGGAGGATTGACTTTTATTATTGGTTGACCTAAATTTGTTGACTTTGCAAAACAATTTGGGACGGATGAATTATATATTACCACTATTAAATAGATAGACAAAAAAGTAAGTAACTGGTACTATGGTTATGTTTGGAAGACATAAGTCTCTGCCTTCTAGCTTTTGTACTATTTAAAAAGTCTTTAAAAGCTTCTACTTGTTTGTTTGGTATAACAATTTTTAAGAGCTTTACAAAAAATAAAAGATTTTTTTTAGATGCTACAAGGAGTAGCATCTGAGAAAAGCCTGTGATTTTAAGCATTAATTAGTCTCAATAGCTTGTATACCAAACAGAACTAAACCAAACAGACAGCTTTTTACAAACATCTATCACCTTTTACCTTTAAGATCTTTTTAGTCACTAAAAGCTTATAGGTACTAAAAGCCTGTCAAAATATTTTTTCAGCTATTTGCTACAAATATACCCATAAAGTTGCTAGTTACCTATCATGCCGAAGAAGGTGGCTGAATTTGTGGAAAATTTATATAGAAGATGATTCCAGGCCGGGCAAACTGGCAAAGGATCAATAAAGCACATGAGCAAGAGCTTTTGAAGATAAATGTTCTTCGGAATCTGATTATGTATGAAATTCTATGAGTTGATGACAATTTATTACTCCCTCCGTTGCGAAAAGGTCGACCAAATTTCGTTGGCCAAATTTCCTTTTATGGATGTCTCAAAAATTTGTCATTTCCATTTAAAGTAAGAAATATGTGGCTAAAGTTAACTCTCTCTCCTCTGCACAAATTTCAACCCCACAATTTTTACTTTATTAATCCATGTGAAAGTCAACTTTGGCTAACAATTTCGGGACGGAGGGAGTATTAGGTTTGATGGTTTAAGATGCGTTTTGCGGGATGGGAGACTGGGAGTTGTTTACATGTAGAAGGCGGTCTGTATATATCTGTATGTAGGTATTGGCACTTGTAAATGTAGGTATACAGATTTTGGAATATAGTAATGTAAATGTAGTAACTCTAATGTGGTAACTGATGTTATCGTAAGTCACGTGTAAGTATTTATATAGTACCTAATATACATATACGGAGTATGAACTGACTATTGAATTGAAGATCTATGTGCAATGAAATTGAAGTTGCCGCAGTTAATTCTCCGTATCTTTATCTTTATATATATAAAGATCCTACGGTGGGATTTCAGGTCAGGGGTGGATCCACTTAGGTAGTAATGGGGGCAGGTGCCCCCAATTAAAGCTCACTAGTAGCTTAGAATTTCTTAATAAATATTAGAAGCTCATCAAATTGCCCCCAATAGGAAAATATGGTTGCCCCAGTGCCCCCAATAGCACAACAGCAAGATACACAAAAAGGGAAAGGACTCCCAACTCCCAAAACATTAGCCACTTCATCCTGCACATCCGTTCACTTTATTTTTAATTGTTTGATCAATTAATCCATTTGAATGGCCTGTGTACTAGCTTGGTTGTTTAGTCCTCAGTACTCAGTGGGTAATTTGTGTTGTTTACTTTTAAGACCACACACACAAACTTTTACGTAGTATTTTTTATATAAACATCAATATTAAATCATATCATTAAACTTATTACAATGTTTATTAATATTTTATAGGATTATTGATTGGTCAATGGATTTTTTTTACAAAAATGTTATTAAAATAAAACTTATTTACACAAATATGACTAATAATTACTACGGAGTACAATATAGTGTCATGGAATTAATGTTTAAACGTTGAGCATAAGTTATTATGACTTCATTACTATTCTAGCCGCTAGTTATATTTTTGTAAACAATCTTTATTTTTAGTCATAAAATATTGCCTAATTGTTTTATTGAAACAAATGTGTTTGAAACTATTAAAAACTAAATTGTCATAGATCTCGTTGAAAAGATGAAAACTCAGCGCGAACAATTATGATGTATTTTGTTAAAAAATATGCTATTGTAATAATACATTAATTCCTCATTACTTCTCGTGTCCCATTTTACGTCTTACTTTCCTATTTTGTTATTCCAAAAGAAGCGTCATAAAAATATGTGATTTACAACATTTCACTTTATTATACTCAAATCTCGATCAACTACAATTTTTATTTTTACAATCACTTTATTAATAACTATTTCAAACCGAAAGAAAACATATAGAATCGGATGAAGGTAGTATTATATTTTTATGATGCATTTTTTAATTTTTCCGCCCCCAATTAAATATAATCCTAGATCCGCCACTGTTTCAGGTGGGATCTATTTAGAGCCAAAACATGTGAAAAATTGTTGTCTCAATTAAATATCTATCTTAATACTTCATCAATGCACTTTCAGTTATGAAAACATGCATAATACTAGCTAATTAGCCTTTTAACTTCAAATAATACGTAGTATTTGCTAAAGTAGTAGTTGGGTAATACTAAAACTAATTGAATACTCCGTATAATAATAATTAGTGGAATACTTTTTTTGAAGATTTTTTTTTTTGAGAGGTTTTTTTTTTGAGAGGTTTTTTTTTTGAAGATTTAAAAAATGTTTTCAAATGTTTTTGCTTAAAAAAACACTTTTTGAAATTATTTTGGAAAAAGTGATTAGTAGTAAAAGTTAGTAGCACTTGAGAGAAAAAATGTTTTCGAAAAGTAAAAGGTGACAGTGTTTGGTAAAATATGCGCTTTTTTTGTAGTAGTAAAAGTAAAGAGCAGTTTTAAGCCAAAAGTCGAGAAACATTTATTTAAGTAGAAGTCATTCGGAAACACTAATTTTAGCCTTTTAAGCCAAAAGTCGAGAATCACTTTTTTAAGTATTTGCAAACACTCTCTTAGGTGTTATTCAATTAGCCGGATAGGAATGTTTTTATTTGAATTTTTAATATTTCATATGATCTGATTTTTTTGAGCTGATCAGAAACTTTTTTTTTATATCTAATTTGAATCTTTTTTTTTTATCTGAATCAATCTCACTCAGATCTAAATATTGCTAATGTAATTAAATGTTTATTATTGCTGTGGTTATTTTTGTTATTATCATCACTATTATTGTGATTAAATTTATAACTGTAATTATAGTTATAACTATAACTATACATCTAAATCTTTCTCATGTGAACTTAATTTTTCCGATTTGATCTAACTTGAATTGTCCCTTATTTGATCTGGTCTGAATAAAATAAAAATAAACATTAAGCAATAAGAATAAGGTAAAGTAATTAAAATACCTCAAACTTTAAAAGGAGTGTGAATTAAGCACCCCAAACTTGCATATATAATTTAAATACCCCAACCTTTATGTAAAAAGTTCTTTTAGCACCAGTCATGTATTATTTCTTTCAAAATTGTTAATTTTTTGTGTAAGTTTCACAATTTAAAATATTTTAGCATTCTAAAAAATACAATTAACATTCTAAACTTCCATTGCAAAATAAATAATAATGCCCCCACTAGAGTGAACAATTGCAACATTTTTAATTTGTTATTTTAAATTATGCAATTAACACCATAAATAACATTTTTGAAAGGAATAATATAGGATCGGACCATATTGCCTAAATAAATTTTACATAAAATTTGGGGTATTTAAATTACATATGAAAGTTTGGAGTGTTTATCTCACGCTTCTGTAGAGTTTAGGTATTTTGATTATTTTTCTCATAAAAATATGACGAACGCAACAACTTCTCAGTGACAGTTAGTAACTACAAATTAGAAAAGTCACATTCATAAATTAAAAATCATAAAACTTACACTTACTCTGTCTCATGAAACTTTGTTAACATTCGTTATTTTTGTTATCTCAAAAACTTATAATCCCTTTGTCTCAGAAAAAATTATACGAAATATGAGAAAAAACTAAAATGGTTGATAAGTTTGATAAACCGTAAACATATATGGAGCACCAAAGGGTTCCTAGATTTTCCGTGCTAACGCACGGGTTTATCGTCTAGTTTAAGTAACTAATGTATAGTAGAGGAGATGTGTGATGTATGGTAGTAACTACTGCTGCAGTAACTTGGTGTTATTTTAGTAACTTACACTTATATTAATGGTTAACTACGTATGCCTTATAAATTCACCAATATGAATAAAATTGTGGAGTTACTAATGGTGCAGTAACTTATTTGTTAATTTAGTATGGAATGACAAATACGAAGTATATGTTTGTTGTAATTGGGGAGTATGAAATGTTTGTTAATGCATACATACTTATGAGTTATGAGGGACAATTAGGGAAAATAATAAACGGCTCATTACACAATTAATTAATATTGTTTAGTACGTAGTAATATTTTTGATTTTTTGTCCAACACTTTTCCATTGGTAATATTTTGGAATTTTTCTTTTAATAGGAGGGGAAATAATCTTTGTTTAACTAATTTTATTATTTATGCAGCTTATGAGGTGTGAGCTCTTGTTTATGTGCTATGTATTGGTCTCTTTTTGTGACTAAACGGAATAATCCTTAAACCTATTTTCTTTACATGAGACAACAAATATCCTTATATATATAAAGAGCCTAAGAGAGTTAAGTTGGGCAATTATACGTTACTACAGTCCCAGCGTTGTTAACTCCGTTTGCTTCTCTCCCGCTAGAAGTAAAGCCTCTGCGCTTTCCCCAATTCATTTTCCATTCTTCAATTTCCCCAACTTCTCACTTCTTATTCTCGCTCGACGTATTCAAGGTTAGGGTTACGTCCGCCGATTCTCCATGCTATTCTCACTATACAAACCTCAAGCATCTCAAGCATACAAGCTTTAGTCACGTCAGTCGTGGCTAGGAAAACATTCAGGTCAGCCAAATCCGTTCTCCACTCCCGTGCTCGATCTTTTTCTTTCAATGGCTGCTTAGTTGCAGAGTCACCGCCATTGCTCTATACTCCGTTGCGATTTCCACCGGCGAGTAGCTCCACACCTCCGGCCTTGCAAGCTCAGGAAGTCCAGTCCTATCTTCCTGGTCAGAACTCGAAACCATCTCTGTTTACATTGAAGTTCATGGGTAGAAATTTGGCTTTTCTCGTTTCTTGTGTTACTCTGTTTTAGGTTTCAAATCTGATTTTTCAATTGATATGGGAGGGGTTTGTTTAATTTGGAGAAACGACAGACCAACAGAGCATCTCTTCAAGGATTTGATTAAAGACGGTAAATCAATTTGATTTTTCTTTTGACTTCTGTATTCTGACTTGAAGGATTGTACGAATAGGAAATTGTTAAATTGATCTTAATTTGATACGCTTGAATCGTACAATAAGGCAAGATTCAGTCTCACTACTTCTTCTGTTATTAGATTGAAACTCTTTTAGATGGAACAAAATGCAAATAGCATTGAGGGAGAGGAGGTAAGTATTTTTCTTTTTTTATGGTTGTGCTTAAAGTTACCTTTGCATTTTATTTTAACAGTCAGTCTGTTTTTTTTTCTAATTCGATGTATATATATTTTATTGCAAGAGATCCCTTATCCCACACATGGTTTATCTGTCAATGTGTTGCAATATCAGTGAAGAAAAGTACTGAAAGCAATTGGTCACCCTTTGATCCCAAACTCTCATCAGAATAAAATCATTCGCTTGATCAGTATGCCAATGCCTTGGGGTTTTCGGTCCAAGATGCTTTGGAGTACTGAGTGGCCGCACTTAGAGGTATACTTCCCTCTTTTGGCTGCTTACATGCTTGCATCTGGCAGTCCTAATAATCTTAGAACGTGCTCTCTTTTAACAACTCGGACTCCATAAAATTAAAGTAGCCTGTTACGTGCTATGCCTTATGCCTATAGCATTTTTACAAGTTACCTACAGCTTTTCAATTTATCTTGCTACCTCACTGCCTGCTTTTGTCTTTTTTTTTGTTCTTATGTTATTTTTATCTTCTAGCTTTTTAATGCTCTTTTATCTTTTTATCTTTTATCTTTCTTATATTCTTATGCTATTGTTATCTTATATTTATTTATCTTTATCTTTTTTTTTGTTCTTGTATGTCTTCTCTTTTTGGCATCGATATCATGGATCGATTAATGTTAACCGACCCCAAAATTTTTTGGGAATAAGGCTTTTATGTTCTTGTTGTTGTATTTCTTTTAGCCCTTTCGTAGTAGAAAGTTTTAATTTGGATTCTAAATAGAATGTTTTAAATTAGATTCTTAATATACAGTTAAAAATAGGATTCCATTCTTAATAGAATGGTTCATAAATAATCTGAAAATATTTGCATCTAACAATCTCCAATCCTGTGTACATCTCTAAAACTGCCAATCATGTTCCAGTGGATGAGCATAAAGTCTTATAGCTTAATGGAGGTTTTATCTTTTTGTATGCCAGTAGGTGATGGAAATTTCCGCATACCAAGGAACAAGAGGGATCCAAACATCATGTCATTTCACATGACCTCCCGGTGTAATTTCCCGTTTTTTCTAACAACTGCTTATATTTTGTCGTTTTTTGCAGGTCTTTATTAATGAGAGCATCCTTTTTATATTGATAATGATTGCCATGATTATTGTTTGATGAAGTTACTATTGGTTCTTCATTCCATGAATATACACAAGGTCTTTTAAATTATGATGCTTCAGATTAAGTAATAATTTCTGTTTTTTTTTTTTTGCATTCTTCCAACTAAAGTGCTCTTTGGTTATTTTGTGCTACGAATGAGATTGTTTCTGCCCCAGTTGATACCTCATTCACCCCCCTGTTGATCAGGATACTGAAGTGACTGGTACTAAGACCAGTTTACTTCATGCTGTTGATGCCTCAAACCTTACCGATTGTGCCACAGTTAACCTTAAATACACTGCTACTTTCTTTAGCCCCAACTCAAGCTCTTGTGGCTTCTGATCAATATGCCCCTGATGTTGATCTTTTTACTTCTGTAGTCTCTGATCTCCCTCAAAGTGAGGCCCCGGTTGTTGCTTGTTCACTACAGGATGATATCGGTGTCAATTCAGTGCAGGTTGATACCTATAAAGTACCCACTGATATCACTCAGAGTGAGGACACAATAGTTGCCTTTTCATTCAGGGATACCCCTGAAATACATGTTGCCAGTCCAAAAAGCCCCTAATGTTGATACCCTTATTGATGTTGTTGTTACAGCCCCATCTGTAACAGTTTTTGTCCCTAATGACGCCCATGTTACGGTTTTGGAATTCCTAGACCCCCCCAATATATGATGTTGTGTTTACTTTTGATGCCTCAGCAGTCCCAATTAATGCCTACTATGATGGAAATATGAGGCCTCTGGCCAACTTGTTTGAGAAAATAGTAAATGTGGCAGTTTAATTTCTGGGATTGCCTCCGTAGATACCCAGCTGCTACCAGCCTACCATCAGCCATATATCAGGTTGCCTTTGAACGTGAAGAACCCCCGGTGGCTACCTGTAACAAGGCGGTAACTGAGTGAATTGACCATCTTTTGGTTAATAGTGACAGTACGACCCAGACTGGAGATGATGAGCTTCTCTCTGATCCACCAATTGCAGATGCTACACTTACCCCAGACACGTCCTGTGATGAAATCTTTTCTGAGGACACGTACACAAACACAATTTTTTTTCCTAATTTTGTTTGAGGTCATTATCCTCCTGACGATGAGGAACACTTTGAAGGCTCTACGCAGGTTACAAGAATAAGAAACAAAAGCATCGGCTCACAAGTTCATCCGTAAAACTTGCCTTTTCTCGTTTCTTTTGTTGCTTTGTTTATAATTTTTCACATCTGGTTCCTCATGTGTGAAGCTAGAGGAACATGTTTGATACCCACTGGCTTCAGTTGTTTTTGTTTGCAGTTTTCGGCGCTGGGATGGTAATTTCCTCTACTCTCCGTTTTGTTTTTCCGATCTTTGATTATTATCCCCCCCCCTAAAATCTGATGTAGCAATCTAAAAAATATTCTTATATTTTTCTAGGCTTTGTCTAACATTTTGTTAGAGTAACTTTCTCTAACATTTTTTTAACCTTTACCTAGCATTTTTAGAGACCATAGTTAATTACATCCATGTTTCAACTATAAATCTAAGAAATTCATCCAATAAGAAAACCTTGACTCCTTTTCCATTTTTTGCAGCTAAACAAGTGAGTGCTTGGGTATCTATGTTCTCAAAGAGATTTTGTTTTGTTAGATATATTTAACACTCAATGGTGCTGCAGCCAATATAGAAAACATGGATGGTTAGGTGAGTTAGTTTAAAATAACCTATATTTACTGCATTTTTGGCATAAGTTGACATGTTTATGTATTACATACATGAATGTACACAAGTAATTTTTGCATAGCTATGCATTTGACTATCTCAATCTTGGTGGTTAAGGATGTTAAAATAGTTTAGGTGAATTATGAAGTATGCACAATTTGACAACGTTAATCTACTATTTCTTGTTCTTGTCTTTTTTCGATATTCTGCTCTTTTTCACAGCCCATCTTCTACGAGTATTGCACTATTCTTTGTATACATTCTCACTCCACAAACATTCTTTGTATACATTCTCACTCCACTCACATGTAGCATAGAGGAACCCCTCCGCCACAAACATACATACGAAATTAGCAGCCTGCCATGCACCAACGTTGCTGGGCCTACTTAATCCCTACAATGTTTGCCTTTCTACTGATGTGCTGACGTGCACTTGTCGTGAGGTGCACTCAAATTAAATTCAATACTAACACTTATACGTAGTATAGTGTAGTAGAGTTCGTATCCACAGGGAAAGGACTAACTTTCTTTTTATATAAATAGTAAATGAAAAGGGGGGTTTTGGTTGTTGAGTGATTTAATTAAATTAAACACGAAGATGAACGAGTTATATGGGATTAAATTCAAGAATAAAAGGGACTTGGTATTGCTACTTTACACTTGTTGATATATTTTAGTCGATCATTGTTATATCTATAACTTATCTCCTCTCGAATACTCAATCGAGGAGTATATCCAATTCATCGAGGATAGTTATTAACAACGACCGTTCATTAATAACCCTTACTATTAGTCAAGTATAGAACAACGCCATATACCGACTTGACAGTAGCATTTAATCTTTTAATTCCTTGATGAAATCAATTGAGATTGATAACCTCAACACAACGGTCTCGGTTTAACCAACAAAATTAATCCCTCTTAAGTTTATTAACCACGACCGTGCATTAATAAACCGAAGTTACTTACTTGTGAAACTATCAACGATTAACCATCGGTTCGTTGATCGTTTCTAGTAATAATTAATATATGAAACAAAACTAGTTGATCCTTTAAGTAATGTTCAAAATATTAATATGCAATATGATTAGGGATTAATTAATACTCAAGGAAGAATATTAAAGAAGATGAATCCTACTATAGTTAATATCAAGATGTTGACTAATTGTCATCTTAGTAACACTCCCCAATATTAACATAGAGGAAGGAATAGCTATTACTAAGACCAATATCAAGATGTTAACTAATTGTCATCTTAGCAACACTCCCCAACATTGATATAGAAATAGTATTTGAAGAAAGAATTAATATTCAAGGAAAGAGGTTAAGAAAATAACTCACAACTTTAATAATCAACAAGCTTCAAGAGCAATACCAAGAAATGGAAGTTTAGCTCCTCATTTGGAGACTAAACATGCTAAAAGAAATATAGAGAAATGCTATTCTAAACTGAGCTTAAGAGTATATAGGAATTGGTTTCTAAAAGTGAAGGAAAGGGGGTGTATTTATAGGCTTTTTGAGGTGCAGGATCGAGTACTCGATCGAGTATGTATACATACTCGATCGAGTATGTATAGAAATCAGAATTTGGTCAATACTCGATCAATACTCGAGTAGATTTTATATGCATACCCGATCGAGTATATAAGCATACCCGATCGGGTATAGACACTCGAACGTGGGAAAATCTTCTCCTGCATGTTCCTTTGTTTTCGGATCCGATCCGATTTGAAATGTCAACCAGATAACCGATCGAGTATATGTATATACTCGATCGAGTATAGACCAAAATCAGGATTTTTCCTTCTTTTTGTCTTGTACTCTTGCACCTTCCTTCACCATTGATCATTTGATTGATCTTGGACCTGTTTAAGCTCAGAATAAACCTAATCTAAACAAATTACAAGAATTTAACAAACTAAACTATTACACCGAAAGTGTGTAATTTCCGAAATATTAAACAATCAAAACTAACTAAAAGCGTAAATAAACATACGGAAATTACAAACGTATCATGTGCTATTGCTTATTTCTTATATTTTGTTTCACTGATGGTTCTCTACAAACAACCATGAATACTTTTAAAACTGCATTCCGGTGAATGGTCTGAAATGTTAATCTGCTACTTGTTCTTGTTTTGTGCATATTCTGCTCTTTTTCACAGCCCATGTTCTACCATTGGGCATCCGCCCTCGCGCAAAGCGCGTGCTAATGCTAGTAATTATATAAACACGTAGCTAATCTACCTACCCACGAGGCCACGACTTTCTAGACGCATAGGCATGTACTTATTTCTAAAGAATAGAAATTGTAGAATGTATACAATTTTCTGCTATAGTTACATATCCCAATCAATCCGTTAATCCTAATGAAAGGCATGGACCGGTTCCGGGCCGGGGCCGGCTCCAGGCCAGTCCAAACCGGGCCTTTTATTTTTGGGGGAAGGCTCGGAACCGGCTCGGGATTCCACAGGGGCTGGGTCGGGCCGGTTCAATTTTTTTTTTTTGCTTTTCTAATTAACCCCGACCCCCCCCCCTCACCCTGACCCCCCCCCCCCCCCAAAAAAAAACACCCAGCCCAATCCGGGAAAAAAAAAATTGTAAAAACAAAAAAAAAAAAAAAACGAACCAGACCCGGCCCGGCCGGTTCCTATTTTAGCAGACCCGGAGCCCGCTCTAACATAACCCCGGTTCGGGCTACATGGACCATTCCAAGACCCGGATATCGGGCCGGGTCACGGGCCGGTTTACCCGGAACCAGTCCATCCCTACTAATGATTTTGCCTGTGCACTGTTTTGTAATGACACATATAAAGTGATGCAAGTTTAGTTTAGGGAAATTACCCTAAATAGGACTAAAAACGTTTAAAAATTCCAAAATAGGACTGTCATATTTTTATTCCCAAAATAGGACTAATTGCTGTCATGTTTTGGCAGTACCAGGCTTTAAAGATGGCAGTATTTTCCAAACTTGGCAGTAATTACTCCTATTTTGGGAATAAAAACATGACAGTCCTGTTTTGGAATTTTCAAACGTTTTTAGTCCTATTTCGGGAATTTTCCCTTTAGTTTATGATTAATTTTAGGATTATTTCAGTATTCTACATCTCATGCATAATCAGTACAATTGTCCAGCACATATTTGCACCAGGTTTAAATGCAATAGTAATACGAAGTAATACTCCACACACCTATTTCGAGTGCAGGAACTCATATCTCCATATTAACAACGAAAAAAGGAAAATACTACATCTAAGTTGATTTGTAAGAATAATTGGTGGAATTTAGATATCCTATTTCTCTTAGTGATGGCCTCGGTGCGGGCCACCCGACCCGGGAACCGGCCCGGCCCGGTACTGTGTGGGCCCGGCCCGGTACTATGTGGGCCCGGCCCGGTACCTTATATAGAAGTCTTCTCTATATAAGGTACTTTTCTAAGTTTCATAAGAGTACAAACATACCAAACTTAGGAGAAAACAAAGAGGAAACAAATTATAGCAAAAATGAATACAAGCCTATAAATATATTGACATTTTTATCGTTGATGGGAGCGGCTGCGGCAGGATGGTCGCATGTAGAGGTGGAAACTGATGCTCTCTCGGTGATCCATGCCTTAAAAGATGAAGGAGATTCTTCTTACCTTTTCCTTATTCCGGATGATATTAGGCATTTGCTGCAAGATAAGAGTAATTTTAGTGTCTCTTATTGTAAACGATCCGCGAATCGTGTTGCCCATACTTTAGCAAGAGCACACGTGTCTATCTCGGATCAGTTCAGTTGGTATGATAGTATTCCTAATTCTATTGTAAGCGTGTTGATAATTTGAGGAAAGGAGGTGTGCAGGTTCTAGAAGGGTGTAAAGTGTGTGGTGGAGTGGTGGAGGATAAGGATCATGCTTTTCGGATTTGTGAAAGAGCAAAAGAGGTCTGGAGAAAGGTGGGGGTGGATCTGGGCAGTCCGGCAGAGTCGGTAAATCCGTGGTTCTGGCGGCATCTCGGTGGACCGAATGGGGAAGACCGATGCATGTTTATAGCTATTTTATGGAGTCTGTGGAAGAGGAGAAATGGATGTGTCTGGAAGGACAAATGGCAAGGAGCGGCGGGTGTTATCAACTCAGCGACAGGAATTATCTCGGGATGGAGAGATGCGCAAGGCTCTTAGAGTACAGATCGGGCTAGGAGAGAAAATAATTCCTTGACAGCTTGGAAGCGTTCGCGAGAGGGTGTTGTAAAAACTAATGTGGATGGGGCGGTGGATGAAAGTACACGTACTAGAGCCTGGGGATGGGTGGCACGGAACCATTATGGAAATTTCTTGAAGGAAAAAGGGGTCTCCAAAGCAGCTAGCTGGTCAGTGGTGGAAACAGAAGCTATGGGTGTTCGGGATGCGTTGATGGGAGCGGCTGCGGCAGGATGGTCGCATGTAAAGGTGGAAACTGATGCTCTCTCGGTGATCCATGCCTTAAAAGATGAAGGAGATTCTTCTTACCTTTTCCTTATTCCGGATGATATTAGGCATTTGCTGCAAGATAAGAGTAATTTTAGTGTCTCTTATTGTAAACGATCCGCGAATCGTGTTGCCCATACTTTAGCAAGAGCACACGTGTCTATCTCGGATCAGTTCAGTTGGTATGATAGTATTCCTAATTCTATTGTAAGCCTGTTGGCACATGATTTGGTGAATTAATATATTTTTCTGTTGGAGTTCAAAAAAAATTGATTTATTTTTAAGTAAACTGTGTTTAATTGTAAAAAGTTGTAGATCCAATTCAAAAGTGAAAAAAACTTTGTTCAATCTAAGTATATTTATTATTATTTCAAAAAAATTAAATTTAAAAAATGTTCAAGTTATTCATAAAACTTCTTTTCAAATATGAGAAAAAATGATCAATTTTGCCATTAAATTTTGAAATCCACTCATCAAAAACTTAAATAATCTATAAGTCTTATAAAATAAATACCTTAAAAAATTTAAATGTTTAGGAAAACGAATTATGAAAATAACAAGAATAGACATTCGAATATACTACCTCCGGTTTTTGCAACTTTTTGCAAGTTGCGTGCCAATAGCCGGTTTGTGGGTTCTTCCATTTATCAAAATTATTTTTCATTAGTTCAGACTTACTTTTTTTATTACCGGTGGCGGTTTGGGATGAGGCAGGCTCGTCGGCGTCGTGGCTGCCGGCACCCTCCTCCTCGGCCGTCTCCGGTTCCAATTCCTCCGCATCTTCATCCTCAAGCTCCTCTTCGTCAATGGTCGTCGGCATTTGTTGTTGTTGTAGAAAGCGGTTATTATGTCGGGCCAATTCTTGTTGGAGTTGTTCTTCAGACATCGCATCTCCATCTCGCCTTTGGTAACCCGTTTCAAAATCATCTCGGCTTTGAGATGAAGAACCGGCAAGTTCTTTACCTTTGCGGGATTTCTTCCTCCCAATCTCGTTCCTTCGATTGCGTTGGAGGTTACCCAAATCAACCGAATATTTACCACCTTCCATCTTAAAAATGTAACAAATATTAATTGACAACCAATATAATAATGGATACAAAACTAATGCAACTAATTAAAACTATTTTAATTAATACTTCAAACTAATTTAGTGCAAAGTAGAATTAATGTGTGACTTTAAAATTAAAATTATACCAACTTTTGAAGTACTTTAATTTAGTAAAAACTACTTAAATAAAATGTTAAGTACTTTAATTAAATGATTGAACTACTATTTCTTCCTACAAATATAAATTGAAAATAAGAAAATGTGACTTTAACTATAATGACAATTAACTAGAGTTGTTTTAACAATTAATGAGAATACTAATGAAGTAAATAACTAGTAAAATGAAAAATGTAACAACAATGCTAATTAACTAATTAACTCGTATAATGACAAATGTAACAACAATGCTAATAAACTAATTAACTAGTATAATGAAAAATGTAACAATAATGATAATGAACTAATTAACTATTATAATGATAAATGTAACAAGAATGCTAATTAACTAATTAACTAGTACAATAATAGTTATAGTAAGTAATATATAATATAATGTTTATAGTATATAATATATAAGTATACTACTATAAGATGAGTAATACACTTATATTTTATACTTTAATATATAAAGTATATATTAAGTAGATGTAGAATGTATGTATTAAGTGGATATAATAATTGTATAAGAATTAAATATTAGAGTATAATGGAGAATTGGAGATTGGAAAATAAGAAAATAAGTATATATAAAATAGATATTATAAAGTATATATAAAAGTAGATAAAGTATATATTAAGTAGATGTAGTATGTATGTATTAAGAAATATAAGTAGAGATTAAGTAGATAAGAAATATAAGTAATATAGTATATGTATTTATAAGTGATAATTAATATATAAGTAGATATAATAATTGTATAAGTATTAAATAGTAAAATAAAATATAAAGGAGAATAAGAGAATTTGAGAAGATGAATATGGAGAATTGGAGATGAGTAGAGAGTAGGATTTAGGGAGAGTTGGAGAAGAGGTGTGAAAAAATGTTTAAAATTAGGAGTATTTATAGGTTTTTTTAACCCCCCACCCCCCCACCCCCCCACCCCACCCCACCCCCACTACCACCCAAAACGCCCCGGACCCCCCCTGGTACCCCCCAACGGCTATATAGCCGTTTGGGAAGTGGCTGTTGAGCCAAAATGTATTTTTTAAAATTAAAAAAAAAAATTAAAAATGACCGTTAGGCCCGGGCCCGACCCGGCCGGGCCACTAAAAACAGAACCCGAGCCCGGACCCTCTTCTCCCACCGGTTCGGTGCCCGAACCAGACCCGGACCCGAGAACCGGGCTGATTCCGGGCCCGTACAGTGACGGGCCGGGCCGGTCCCGGGCCGGGCGGCCCGAACCGGGTCCACCACTAGACAAGAGTATAATAGAACTGTCAGTTATGATGTAACGTTGGTTGGATGCAGATATGTTTGGAAATGTCAAGTGACTTCCAAATTGCTTTCGAAGATGTTTTCAAGCTAAAGCACTTTTAAAATAGACTGTCCAGTCGCAAGGCGGAGAGCCGTATAAAATTATAATCATGTTTCCTTGGCATTCCTTGCAAATAGGCCTGGACTCGGGCCGGATGACCCGACCCGGAACCGGCCCGAACCGGCACTATTCCGGCCCGGCCCGGTGTCCCGGTCAGTGACCGGTCCGGGTAGGCCTGATCCGCGTGGGTTCCGGTCCGGGCTCAACCCCGCAAACCATGAACCGGCCCGGCCGGTTTGGGCCCGGTTCCGGGCCTTTTTAATTTTTTTTCAATGTTTTTTACTTTCCGGGTTGGGCTGAGTATTTTGGGTCATTTGGGGTGGTTTGGGGGGAGGGGGGGGGGGTTGGGGTTAACTAGGGAAAGGGAAAAAAAATTAACAAAGGCCCGAGGCCCGGCCCAAACCGGAACCGGGGATTACCCGGGCCGGTTCCAAGCCCCCCATTCCAGAACCGGAGGCCCGACCGGGCCTAGGCCCGGTCCTGAACCGGGCCGAGTCCAGGCCTACTTGCAAACACTTCAAAAACTGATCTTTTTCAGTTTCTCCAAATAAGGAGTTTTGAAGGTTAAATAGTTGAATGACTTTAAAAATAATTCAATTAGGTTTGATTTTATTTATTATTAAGATATTTCCTTTTTTCTTTAATTTTAATTAAAGTAGATGTAGGTTGTAATATATTTATTGTGCTAAGATAAAATATTTAAATGGCATTGAAGTAATTTACCATATTTGCAATATAAAATATCTTTCAACCAAGTAAATTAGTATCACATTCTCTTAATCTTAACCAAACACGAATAAGAATAAATTGGATACATTCTCATCAATCTATGACATTCTCATGGTAATCTGACATTCCATGAACCAAACATACCCTCAAAGTTATGGGCTTCCAAAACCACTAGTACGTTTTTCACTAAATCAAAATTTAATTTTTGGAAATAAATTTAAATACATATTCTTCTCAAATCACTGGTTTCTTTGGAACAAGTGAACCAGTTCCACCAATAATCTGATACAAACACTTCCAAATAATCTTTCTTGAATCTGAAACACAATGCAAGTCCATAGAAACCAGTTTATTATGTTTGTTTTAATTTAAATTCATAACATGTGCTCATGAATGATAGCTAAATCTATAACTACAATTACCCAATCAGACATTAGAAAAAAGGCATGAAAATTGGGGGAAAAGTATACCTGAAGGGAAGAAGGTGCTCTTTGTAGACATTGCCAAAGGAGCAAAGCTAAAGGAAAAGAATGTTCAACTCACTATATGATTGTGATAAAAAAAAATCTAGGAATGCGTCAGTCAATAAATTGCAGGGGGAAGGGGGGGATAAATTCTGAAAAAGATGAGGACGGAAGCAAATACAAGGACGGTAAAAAAAACGCAGCTGCCAAGTTTAAGAGCAGATTGTCTGTCGTGGTATGAAATCAATTCATATAACAGTTGAATGCATAATAGCTAGACTTAAAAACCAAATTTAGCATAAAAAGAAAATAACTTACCTGTCATTTATGAATGATAAGCATCAGGCGATGATAGAGGAGGAGGCTGGCAGAGGAGGTGGAAACCATGAGCAAGAGTCATGCTCAAATTTAGGATGTTAAATTTGCTGGTCTGGTCTGAACTGGTCTGGTCTGGTCTGGTAGACGTCTGGTCTATGTGTATTTTATAACTACGGAAGTCTGGTCTGGTCTGTTTAGGTCCGGTCTGGGACTGAAAACAGTCCAAAAGAAAACATCCTTATACTGCCCGAGAACACTTACGGCCCGTTTGGATCAGGTAAAGGTGTTGAAGGGTGTTAGTAATGGAAGTGTTAAGGCATGTTGGTCTTAACACCTGTTTGGGAGATTGTTTTAAAAAAATTGGAGTGTTAGTAAGTGTTTAGAAGTGTTACGAGAAACCTCCCTAACGCCCCAATAAGTAACATTTTTAACACTCCAAATTGGAGTGTTTTTGGAGTGTTGGACAAATCTTACCCTTCCATATTTCTTCCAGTAGCTATCTCGTCTTTGCTAAACAAATGTTACAAATAAATAAATAAATAAATAAATAAATAAATAAATAAATAAATAAATAAATAAATAAATAAATAAATAAATAAATAAATAAATAAATAAATAAATAAATAAATAAATAAATAAATAAATAAATAAATAAATAAATAAATAAACTATTACAAATCCCTATAAGCAAGCAAATTGAAAAGAAGATGCCGTCTGCTCCCTTGGTCAAGTGCCTCGACGAGCCTCATACTTCTTCTCTGTTCGTGTTATCCGTTTGGTACTGATTTGTCAAACTGAAATAGTATGGCTTTTTTAAAATTCTTTTTGGAATTCAAATTGTATCTAGAATCTATAATTTTTACTACAAGTTTATTTTCTTTCCATTCAAATGGATATTGTATTGTACTCCAGTACTTGTGCAGTTCATAGCTAACTTAAATAAAACATTGTATTTAGGATTTAAATGATGACATTATTGTCAATTTAACTTGATTTAAATGATGACATTATTGTCAATTTAACTTAAAACACTTCTGTTATTAACATTTCAATTTTTTAACTCTCCCAAACAAGATAAGTTTATGGTTTACACTTACACTTATTTTCCCTTCTGGGCCCTTACCAACACTTTTCAACCCTTCATCCAAACAGGCCGTTATTTTCAATTAATTTCAGATCGAGGCGGTTACAAACATTAGAGATTCTGGAGCGAAGGGTTTTCCAATCGAGGGTGTGACGATTGGAATTTCTGCCGGCTTTTTAGAAATTGAGACAACGTAGTGAGGGAGGGGAATTGAAGGTGTGAAGAAATTAATTTTGACTGTGAAATTAACTTGTCGAAGATATAACGGTAGAAGAAATTTTGACGCCATAAGGGTAGAGAAGAATGCGGTCCAAGTTTTTTAAAGCAGTGTACAAAGTCCTATGCACAAGCTAGCATGACACAAATCAAGGGCATTAATCATGATTGAAGATTATAATGTTGTTAGATAGATATAATTAAAAATCCGTATGGGCCCATCTTCGTGGCTCCTCACTAGTTCCGTCCGTGCGCCTCATGAACTCCTCGCGTATCGTTTATTGGGTACGCCTCTTATCGCAAATGGAGTAAATGTCCCTGAGGCGCGATTGCATCGCGCAATTAACAGAGCTATTACATGAAAAGTATTTTATTAATGAACATTTCAACTATTACTCCCTCCGTTCCCGAAAGAAGTTCCCGTTCGGTTTACAATGCTTGACTGACGATAAAGCAACTCGATCCCTGTTCATATTCGGATTATTTTTAGTAAATAAAATTTACATACTCAGAAACTATATTAAAACCGCTACAAAGCCTGATCAAGAAAATTTAAGTTTGATAAAATTTGATATATAAAATAAAGGATTAGGAGTGATTCAAGTTAACCAATGAATAGTGACTAGGAACTTCTTTCGGGGACAGAGGGAGTATATTCATTAGTAACTTGTATTTTAATACAAACTATCGGTAATTTTTCACTGTAATCACATCTTAATTTATGTTTTATATTGAAAAAAAACACAATTTTGTTACCGCACAAGATCCCATTTTCTTGCGACCGAACATGCTAGTTGGACCCAATGGTTTTTAAGTCAACTCAAAAAGACAAAACCAAACTCCTAAAGTCATGGACTGCCAACTCCAGACTCTGCCTCCTGATTTAGACCCACACATGCATTTGCTAGAGCTAGGGGAATCCACAAATCCGGCGTCGGACCTCCATTTCATAGATTGTGAGTTCAAGTCTTTTAAAATAGTTGGAAGGAAGTCATCACTCCTGAAAGTTAGTATTGTCATCGTTAGCCCCATACATTGGAAGAGCGTGAACACCGCCGCTAGTACATTAAACCTCTCACTGGGGAAAATGTTTCAAAACGTCTTTTGAAAAACCAGGAATATATAGATCAAACTAAACCTTTCACAGATATAGCTCGGGGCTCTTTGGGTATCTACATTTCAAAGTGTGGGTTGGTCATAATATAATTAATTGTGATTTGCCGCTGCTTGAGAATACATTCAAGGAATCAAAATTTGGCTTCACGATCAAGGATAATGAATCAGATGATATCAAAGTGCTTGAATTCCCGCGAGCATCGCGAGTAGTTGATAGATGTTAATCATTATGTAGATGTGGGTTTCAAAAAGGAAAGAGAGATATTGATTCTGCGAGTCTTCAGAGTTTGGTCAACCATTTCAAGATGAATGCAAAACAGAAACACAATATTATTTCTGATTGTCTATTACTCTGTAATATCATAATGCCGTGCAATATCGTTCTATTCTTGGAATCGGCAAAGAGACATTACTGTTCAGATGTAGCAAATTATACTGAAAATCAATATGTGGAAGATCAGTTTCTAGAAGATCAATCTATGGAAGAGGACGAATCTAACTTCATTGGCGACTTCCAGAAACTTCTTCCACATATTGATCTTCCAGAAACTGATCTTCCACATATTGATTTTACGTATACTTCGTTGCATCTAAACAGTAATGTTTCTATGTCAATTCCAAGAATAGAACGGTACTGCATCGCATTATGATATCACAGAATAATAGACAATCACATATAGTATTGCGTTTCTGTTTTGCATACATCTTGAAATGGTTGGCCAAACCCTGAAGACTCACAGAATTAATACCTCTCTTTCCTTTTTCAAACACACATCTACGGAATGAATAATATGTATCAACTACTTGCGATGCTCGCGGGAATTCAAGAATTTTGATATCACCTGATTCATTATCCTTGATCATGAAGTCAAATTTTGATCTCTTGAATGTATTCTCAAGCAACGACAAATCACAATTAATTATTATGACCAACCCACGCCTTGAAAATATAGATACTTAAAGAGCTCCCGAGCATCTCTGTGAAGGGTTTAGTTTGATCTATATATTCTTTGTTCTTCAAAAGACGTTTTGAAACATTTATCCCACAGAGAGGTTTAATGTATCAGCGACGGTGTTCACACTCTTCCAACGTACAGGGACAAACGATGACAATACCAACTACCAGAAGTGATAACTTCCTTCCAATTATTTTAGAAGATTTGAATTCACAATCTATAAAGTGGAGGTCCGGCGCCAGATTTATGGGTTCCCCTAACTCTAGCAAATGCATGGGTGGGTCTAAATCAGGAGGCAGACTCTGGAGCTGATAGTTTATGGCTTTAGGAGTGTGATTTTGTCTTTTTGAATTGACTTAAAAAGTCATTGGGTCCAACTAATATGGCCGATCTCAAGAAAATGGGGATCTTGTGCGATAAAAAATTGGGAAAGTTCCTGAAATAGGACTAAAAAAGTTTGAAAATTCCAAAATAGGACTGTCATGTTTTTATTCCCAAAATAGGAGTAAGTACTGCCAAGTTTGAAAAATATTGTCATGTTTGAAGTCTGATACTGCCAAAACATGACAGTAATTAATCTTATTTTGGGAATAAAAACATGACAGTCCTATTTTAGAATTTTCAAACTCTTTTGGTCCCATTTCGGGTAATATCTCTAAAAAATTGGGCTCTCTTATCAATACAAAAACATAAATTAATATGTCATAACAACGAAGAATTATTGATAGTTTGTGTTAAAATAAAAATTATTAATAAATATAATAGTTAAAATAAAAATATTATTAATAAAATACATTTCACTAAATAGCTTTGTTCGAAATTGCGCAACGCAATTGCGCCTTAAGGCACGCCTCAGGGATATTTACTCCATTTGCGAAAAGAGGCACATCCATTTCACGCAATGAATAACGATACACAAGAAGACAGTTCATGTGGCGTACAGATGGAACTAATGTGGGGCCACATGTGATGGGCCCCTACAAACTTTTTATTTTTATTTATATATGTATATATATTGGAGAATTATACAATTAGAGCATCTTTAACGGGGGCTTCGATTGCACTAAATGCATTGCCACGCCAGACCTTGCAAAAATTATCATCTCCAACGCAAATATGCATTTCATCTATCGTGCTGAGGTGTAACCCAAATGAATCGAAGGTGTCTATCTGCCTTTCTAATTGTAGCTGGTGTGTCTGACATGCTGACTCAGCATAACATTTATTATACGGAGTAATTCCCTTCCGGCTACGAACCTTCTCGCTGCAGTAGTATCCCACGCGAGATCAACTCCGGCACCATCTCGCAAGTCACAATCCCTTTCCATGCGGTGGCACTCCTCCTCTTGGCGGCATCGGCTGGCAGTCCCTTTTTCTCCGGCGATCGTCTTCTCCGACTCCTTAAACTTCCAAAATAAGACTTCCTTTTCTTCCAATTTCCATAGCTCGAGCACTCTGCTCATTCTTCCAAGTTCCAAATTGGTTCTTGTAATGTATCTAGACTGAGAGATGGTTGTTTTCTTAGCCTCAGTGATCGTAATATCAAGCATGTCAATTTTTGGCAGATCAAATAATCAGATCTTCTCCTCCCTAAGCAACAGCCATCCTGTATCGCTCTTCTTCATTTACATTTCACACTATTTCGCCGTTTTTTTTTGTATTTTCTATTTCGCCGTTCTTTACACTCCGTATACTCCCTTTTCAATTTTTTGCGTATAAACCGAGAGTCAAATGTTTTTATTTAGGGAATGCAAGAAGGCTTAGATGAGGACTCCATTGGAGAAGAAGAATGAATTTAAGGGTCTGTGCATCCAGGTCAGCTACACAGGATGTCTATACGGATGATGTGTCCATTTTTTGAGAGATACAATCCACGTTACCATTAAAGATGCTCTTAGGCTGCCGCGACAGGATCCACCGTTTTGTGCCTCCATTTAAGGTACTTTCGGGTGTACTTTTTTGATAAAAATTTGTAAGCATGTTCTTTATTAAGTGTCGATTATTTCCACAAAATTTTAGCTTAAACTTCAATTAGGAAGTCAGTTAAATAAATTATTGAAAAATACTGTGTCTTTAATATATATTTTGGCGCAGTGTTTTTCAATAATTTTATTTACCTGACATCCCGATTGAATTTCAAGATGAAATTTGGTGGACATAATCTACACTTCATGAAAAGCATGCTCACAACATTAAATCAAAAAATTCAACATCTAAACACCTCTAATGGAGGTGAATCCTGTCAGGCCGGCCTAAAAAGATCATTCCTCTCACTGCGTAACTTGCCGCCTTTCCCTTTCACATCTTGTGTGAGTTTTAAGATGTATTGTGTATTTGTGTAGTTTTTTAATTAATATTTCCATTTCTAAAATTTTAAATTTTGTGTTCAAGCTTATTATGAATTTATTCATTATTAATCCAATTTTTTATTTTTTTGTGCAAGTCGATTACTCTCTATTGTGGACTTTATTCATTATTATTCTCGTTTAATGAATTGTTAATTGTATTGTAATTGTGGATTTGTTGATTTGTTTTTTTTAATGTTATTTTTATAATTGTACTCATCTTAGTTCAATTATAGTCTTTCTAGGTTGTTTGATTGTTCTGTAAATCGTGTGTTCCCTCTCGGAAATACATAGATGTTTTTCTTTTGTAAAAAAAAATATAGTGGTATATATATCTAGCGCCAGAGCCTCTTCGGTAGTTCCTCTTGCCGCCGCCCGCCTAGCCAGAGAACGGAATTCCCGGGGCCGTAGCAAGCCGTCTGCTTTGTCGAGTTGTCGAAGATTTTACCTTTCTCGTTATGTGCCCCTTCAACATCTCTGAGCTGGTTCCGCCACCTATGAGGCGTACGTCTCTCAAGCTTCTATCGGTAAGGTAGGTTTAGGCTTAGAAAGTACAAGATGGGCCTACTTTTAAAAAATTCCTAGATAAGGCTCAACGCGGCTTAAGTTTTTTTTTTTTTTTTTTGAAAATAACGCGGCTTAAGTTAAAACCTTCGAACAATCATTCACGTAAACTCCTGCAGTCCTACGCAAGCTCCTTTGCTTCAACTTTTAATTTTGTAAACCCTTCTCACTGAATCGTAAACTCCTATCTTCTGTGGTAAGGTATGATTTTGATTTTATTTGGGAAAGTTCCCGAAATAGGACTAAAACAGTTTGAAAATTTCAAAATAGGACTGTCATGTTTTTATTCCCAAAATAGGAGTAATTACTGCCAAGTTTGGAAAGTAATGTCAAGTTTGAAGTCTAGTACTGCCAAAACATGGAAGTAATTAATCCTATTTTGGGAATAAAAACATGGCAGTCCTGTTTTGGAAATTCCAAACTTTTTTAGTCCTATTTCGAGTAATATTCTCTTTTTTCAATATAATAAAAGATGTTCTGAATTGTAACAAACGATGCTAACAAACTAACAATATGTTCTCAGTTTGTCTTGTTTCAGTTTTATATATTTGTCTACATCAATAATGGTTGTTGATTAATCAGGATCCTGAATGTGTTTATGACCTATTTATTAAATAATATTAAATAATAAAACTCAACACACAAGATACTTTGAACCTCCCCAAGCCGAGTGAAAACAAAACAGTGCAAAAATAAGCTTATTGATGGTGGTTCACACTATCAAAGTCACTCATCAATCTCATAATCTTAGAACTTTAATAGCTAGAAAATGTGTTCTGTGTGTGAGGTTTGAACATACAATTCTGATGAGTTGATGACCTCATTTTTGTTAGTTTGTTTATGAAGTTTGTTATTTTGGATTAACATTTATTTATTATTACTTCTAACATTTTCAATTCACAAATGCTCTACAAATGAGTTTTACACCTCAGCATTACGCCTCAATGCGCGCGCTTACAAAATACGCCATACTATGAAAACGCCTCATATCCCCCATACGCAATTTCGAACATTGCTTAGTAATCATAATATCAATATCTAATACTTAAGAACAATTTACCTGGTTCAGCCGTTCAGCAGTAACTAGTCAGCACAGTCATCAGAAGTTTTGGGGTCGAATTGACTTGTTCTTCATAGCATATTTAGGCTTCTTCCATTCTCATCACTCTCGGTTTTGGCCTTGTCCAGGTTGGTTTACTACCTCGCACATTCCATGGAAAACAAGATTAATTAAACGCTTATAATGATTAGCAGGCAGTTCATTTACGCTTTTAGAAATACCAAACACTTGCCAGTTAGGCTTCACTACATATAATTCTCCCGCGAGCCGGATAAACTACTTATACCCTAGAAGTAATTTTTAATTTGAAATATCAAAACAATTTTCAATAGAAATCCGCACAAATATTCATATACTTAAACGTAAATTGTGATAGAAGATTTTTTTTTCAGATCAATTAAATATCATTCTTACAAAGTAATTATTTGGTCATTTAATTTCTCAATAGAAAAGTAGATTGGGTGCAAAGTTTTCACATCAGTCATTTAACCTGTTTAGCAGAAAACTTACCTGAAATTCAGAGATTAAGTGTGATCCATCATATGCATAATTCTTCACGGTTCACACCACAATTGTCTATACTACATTTAAAGCTTTGCCACTACGAAGTAGGGGTAATTATCAGTGATTGAGCTTTAGATATAATGTTTTTTTCACATATCTTATATGGCCTAACATATCCCATCGTTTTTACTTATTTTGTCTACCATTTTCTGGGGCTCCAAACAAGTGGTAAAATTTTTTATATCTCCACTACTCACAGTTTATATAATAACCAATGGTTTTAACTTAAGCAAAATGGATATCTAATTGACATTACCCAGGAGGGACTCCAAATATTCACACAGGTTATTATTAACCCCTAAACTATACAATTGGAAACAATTAAGCTCATATGTGACACGTGTGACAACGTCCAATAAGCCATATCAAGGACAACATAGATATTTAAATCACAAGGATTGCAGGTTAATGAGCAAACAAAGAGTTAGTTATTTATAATGATTAAAAAGAAAAAGGCTGTGTGGAACTGCTCTTTTAGTACACTAACACTTCAAACCATGCTAGTAAAAAGGAATACCTTATAAATGGGGCAGAAAGGAGTATTTGTTGCATTACAAAGCAGTAGATGCAAGCATGGTTTAAATAGCAATGCCGCAATTTAGACCCCACTATACTTGAAAAAGATGCCTGCATGACAAAAGTATTATTTAAAATGATCTCCAATACACTTACAATTACAAATACAAGTTCATAACATAGCAATTACATTATTAGTTGAATATATACACTTACTCCGACAGTCCGATCCATATGCTTCAGACTGGCGAAACCATGTTGTGATTGTGGGCCTCCATGACATCAACACTTACTAGCAAAAGCAATGCCGAAATGCAAATCCAAATCTTGACTGCCACCTAAAAAAGCAGGAAAAAATCATTTAAATGATATAAGCCAGAAACTTTGGGGTTCAGAAACAAGCAACAGAACCAAATATTTGCTTTGGTACTAAACAATTGCAGCAACTAGTTATTGATTTTGGTTACAAGAGCAATACAAATTGCAGCAAAGTAACTTTGCAACTGCAGCAAATAAGGAAATAGAAATTGCACAGGAAGAGAAGAAAATTCTAGTTCTGTGCTAAATCTTGAATAATAAAGATTAATGACGTGCCGCGGTTTATCAAATGCTTGGAAAAAATAAAGGTTAATGACTTGTTCATACACCGGAAACATATAATAGAGTGACAAAACCAACCAAACAGGGGCTTTATTTTATTTCTAATAAATAACGTGTTTTTATTTTGTGGACCTCGACTTCATTGTACTTCAGATATCATCTTCCCTTCATATGAGCTTAATTAGTTCAAAGCTAGTAAATGCTTCCTCCCACTCTGTTTTATGGCAGCCCCATCATATGCCCGGATAAAAAGTCATAATCTTATTGTAAGTAAATGTATTCTGAAATTGCCAAGTGGGGAGGATGGATTATACGGAGTATATAGGAAAAATAAAAAGTGAATATATGAGATATTACCCGAAATAGGACTAAAAAGGTTTGAAAATTCCAAAATAGGACTGTCATGTTTTTATTTCCAAAATAGGACTAATTACTGTCATGTTTTGGCAGTACCAGACTTTGACAGTGTTTTCCAAACTTGACAATAATTACTCCTATTTTGGGAATAAAAAACATGTCAGTCCTATTTTGGAATTATCAAACTGTTTTAGTCCTATTTCGGGAACTTTCCCTGAAAATATTTGTTGGAACTTTGCAGTTTCTATCTCATAGTCGGCCCCAAATAGATATACCGTAAAAATAGGAGTTCTTAACCGATTCTTTGGCACAACTAACTGAACGGATACTTTTGTAAGTTTTAGGGAAAGTTCCCAAAATGGGACTAAAAAAGTTTGAAAATTCCAAAATAGGACGGTCATGTTTTTATTCCTAAAATAGGACCAATTACTGCCAAATTTGGAAAATACTGCCATGTTTGAAGTCTGGTACTGCCAAAACATGACAGTAATTAGTCCTATTTTGGGAATAAAAACATGGAAGTCCTATTTTGGAATTTCCAAACTTTTTTAGTCCCATTTTGGGTAATATCTCTAAGTTTTATAATAACTGTTAGCTTACATTATTCTGAAACGGAGGGAGTATTAAATTTGTTAGTTAAAGTGCCGCCCAAGGTGCATAACCCTGAACTGAGCAATTTCTACTACTCCCATGTCCCTTAAAACTTGACTAAATTTGACCGGCACGTGAATTAATAAAGTAAAAATTATGTGGTTGTTGTTTGTGCATAGGAAAGAGAATTAAATGAAATCACAAATTATTTATTTAAAAGGGAAATTGGAAAAGTTAGGATATTATATTGCAGAGGAATATTATATTGCAAGTAGCAAACGACCAAGGATAGGATAGAAAAAAACCTGATCAAGGAGGAAGAAGGTCCAAGCACGAGGCATACTGAAGGGCCTTCGTATGGCTGCGACCACGGCTGATAGGAGTGTATAACCCGCACATATTCCATTTGCGTGCACCAAATACCTGTAAAATATACATTACATGTACAATCATTATCATAAGACTAAAACATGCTAATAACTTTCTTCAAATATTTTTGAATGGACTTCTCAATATGATTTTTGAGGTCAGAATTTGTTAGTGGTTAATTGTTTTAAAGGTACTACCGTACTACCAGTGTCCTGTTCAAAAGTTTACATTCTAAAATAGTACAATTGTTTAGACAATAATTAATTATGCTTATTCAAATATATTTTGAGAAATATGTTTGAGGGATCATGGATATATAATATAATGTGTTATTAAATTTTTATTTATGAGCGGTAATGTAACTGTTTCTCAAAACAGAAAATGAAAATGTGACTACTAAAAAAGGAGTGTGAGAAGAGAAGGGTATTTCATTTTATGACATGAATATGATTGACATACTCCAATTTAATTCCAAGTCAATTCTGGATGCAACCCCAAGCGGTGTCGTAGTCAATTGAGCTCTAACAAGTAATTGAATCCCGATACATCTCAATAACAAGCACACGAATTATAAGATTTATCTGCTCTAATTATTTACTACTCCCTCGTCTGGAAAATTCTAAATTTCCCACTTTCCGAGGTTATAAAAAGTTCTTCCTATTTCTTTTTTTGGAAAGTTTGTGAGGCTACTATTCATTTACTTTTTTCTTACTGAAACACAACGTGCATTTTCATTCTATTCTCACTTTCTTAAACTTCAATCCAAAATAACATTGGAAGAATCTATGAGGAAGCAGAGAGTATAATATCTTCAGAGCTTATTAAGTGTTCCATATTTACTTATTTAATCAACGGTTTAGCATAAATAAAGAAATTAAAAGATGTGAGAAGTAAAATGTATGTTGAGGAAAAGATGAGATGAGGACATACTTAAAGGGCAAAACATCATAATAAGAAATGGAGCCAAAGTCCGTGTTACTTTGGGAGTTCTTGAGCATCAAAACCAGCGCCACCACACACAGAGCCATGGGAAAGAGGCGGAGCAGAGTCTCCGCCCTGCGGAACCCCGCGGCGGCGCTTCCTCTCTCGTCCTCCTGTGAAGAACTGCCAGCATTACCATCCGCCATACCCACAGCATTGTTGGGGGAGAAGACCGCGTTTGTTTGGTAAGTAACAGTTGCTTTGCCCTCCATCATCATGAAATTAATATTTCAACTATATCTTACAATATGTATATTCTTTCAATCCTTGATATATACTCGTAGATGACAATGTTATATATATACTAATGTGTATATATCAGTGGCTTTGACTTGACTTACCTTGCCTAGCAACAGAACCTACAGAACTGACAAAATTGAAGAGAGAAAAGAGAGACGTGTGGGGAGTTAGTGGAGTGGAGCGGAGGGCAGGGAAGGCATAAATATAGAGAGGATGGGGTAGGGCATAGGAAGGTAGCTAGATTGGGCATGGAGGTAGTTGGCGGCATGCGCCCTCTTTCTTCATTGAAGACTGCCCTTTGTTTTGTAATGTATTGATCCTCTTCCTCCTTTCCAAGACTGGGTTCAAGGGCACTATACAGCTGCAGATAGGTAGGTTTAGGCTTAGAAAGTACAAAAAATTTGAGCAAAAAATACTATCGGGAAGACCCCCAAATGGAGGAGGCCGGACGGGGGCAGTGGTCAGGTATACCTGACCTGAATATTTCTCTATATATATATAGAGAGAGAGGGGGGGAGAGAGTAGTCTTCACGTCAGGCCGGCCTGACGGGATGCTCCGTCCGGCCGAGGGTATTTCGGTCACTTCCTGGTGAAATTTTTTGATGAAATTTTTTGAGCATGTTCTTCATGAAGTCTAGTTTATCCATACCAAATTTCAGATAAAAATTCAATCGGGAAGACAGTCAAATAATTTGTTGAAGTTAACTGCGCAGTTTATAGGGAAAACTGTCAAATAGGTCCTCGAACTTTCATAAAAAAGTCAATTAAGTCCTTCTATAGGAGGTTTTGTCCGGCCGTTGCGATTTGGGACAGTTCCCGGCGGAATTTTTTGATGAAATTTTTTGAGCATCTTATTCACCAAGTCTAGTTTACTCATACTAAATTTCAGCTAACAATTCAATTGGGAACACATTTAAATTAATTCTTGAAGATAACTGCGCATTTTTGCGTTCTCGAATTAATTTGAATGCGCTCCCGATTAAATTTTTAGCTGAAATTTGATATGAGTAAACTAGACTTGGTGAATAAGATGCTCAAAAAATTTCATCAAAATATTCCACCGGGAACCACCCCAAATCGCGACGACCGAACAGAGTTTCCTATAGAAGGACTTAATTGACTTTTTTATAAAAGTTCGAGGACCTATTTGACAGTTTTCCCCAGTTTATATGTATGAACTGCCCAGTTAACTTCAACAAATTATTTGAGTTCCTTCCCGATTGAATTTTTAGGTGAAATTTGGTATGGATAAACTAGACTTCATGAACAACATGCTCAAAAAATTTCATCAAAAACTTCCACCGGGAAGTGCCCGAAATGCCCTCGGCCGGACGGCGGTTCCCGTCAGGCCGGCTGGACATGAAAAGTTGTCTATATATATATATATATATATATATATTAAGCACTCAATTAATATTTATAATTAATATTAATAATTAATATAGTAGGAGTAATAAGTTAATTACGGAGTATAATTAACAGAATGTCAAGGCTCAAAGCATTTATAAAACATTTAACATATCAAATTCGAAGATAAATTACAAAACATTTGAGATAAGAAGGTCAAAGGTAAACTCCAAAACATTTGACAACAAAATACGGAGTATCATCTTAATATAAAATCATCCCTCATTTGTCCCACTTGCCATGACCTAGTCGCTACTCGGTAGCTTCAGGACAATAAAAAGCAGTCCCAAAAGATTAAGAGCCCGTTTGGTAGCACCAAAATAGGCTGTTTTGGCTGATTCTGCTGAAATTTATGATATTCTGACTGGAGTGGCTGTTTTGGCTGATTCTGCTGATTTAAGAAAAAAATATTTTAAAAATATATTTTATTAATAAATTAAATAAAAAATTATTTGTAAAAATAGCTAAAATGGTCCTCTACAGTAACTTCAGCCAATACAGCCAGAAAAGTAACTCCAACCTTACTTTTTCGGCTTATTACACAATTCAGCGCGCGAAAGTAAAAGTTACGTGTTTGGTGAAAAAGCTGGCTGATAAGCCTGATAAGCCGAAAACAGAGTTCTCCAAACGGGCTCTAAAATTGAAACTGCCAGAACAACTAAAGCGGCCGAAAGATAGAAAACAGAGAAGAGATGAAGCGGATGAAAGACAGAGAGCAGAGACGAGATGAAGAAAATGAAGCAAGAAGATTTATTTAAAGAGCAAGAAGCTGGGTAGATTAACGTCGCAGCCGGTGGCGCTAGGGCTTCGATCATCCTGATTCGCGATGTTTTTTTTAACTTGTCGTTCTACGACTTCTTTCCCGTTTTTTAGCTTCGAAGTCCCAACTCGGGTAGATCGCAGAATCGGACGAGTTATGATTCTACTCGTCGATCCGACGATCCGAAGCCTTTTTCCGATCCTAGCAGCGATCCAGCTCGTACCTCCCTATTCTGATCATAAAAACGTACGATTCTACGAGTTGGATCGCCATCCTAACAACCTTGAGTGTAGTATATGTAATTTCATAAAAATAAGTGTACACATTACCATGGTCTCTTACACGTAGGACGCGGGTGATGCTTAAAGCCTTATACATGCTCCTGGAAGCAAATTATAGGAGATAACTATTGAAATAATGGCATGAGTATTAGTTCTAGAGCCCGTTTGGTAGCACCAAAATCGGCTGTTTTGGCTGATTCTGCTGAAATTTATGATATTCTGGCTGGAGTGGCTGTTTTGGCTGATTCTGCTGATTTAAGAAAAAAATATTTTAAAAATATATTTTATTAATAAATTAAAGAAAAAATTATATGTAAAAATAGCTAAAATGGTCCTCTACAATAACTTCAGCCAATACAGCCAAAAAAGTAACTCCAACCTTACTTTTTCGGCTTATTACACAATTCAGCGCGCGAAAGTAAAAGTTACGTGTTTGGTGAAAAAGCTGGTTGATAAGCCTGATAAGCCAAAAACAAAGTTCTCCAAACGGGCTCTGAATACGTCCTTCTAGAGTTATCAAAGACAAAACTATGACCTGAATCTCGTTTAGACAGAATTGTAACTGAAAATATATGAACAGACTTTAATACCCCTTTCAGCCCTAAATTCATTTCCGACTTTTCTCTCCTCAAACATGGCAGCGCGTTCTTCTTCGATCGGCCACAGCAATCCGCACGCCATCACCTTCTCCAAATCGCCGCCATATTCACGCCTTCTCTCCACGCCGTCACTCCACGCCGTACGAACATCACAGGTATGTGACTATTCTGTTTTCTTCTCTTCTTCGACAAATCTCCACACGTGCGATGGCGACGGCCTAGCGATGGTGGAAATCTGAAGATGGCGAGCGTGAATTCATCATCTATTACGAAGGCATGTGATAAGGGCGACTATGAATGGAAATCGTCAATTGCCGGCAACATCGAAGCTAGGGTTCGCATCTGGTGGTTTGGACGCGATTGGAGACGGCCATTCTATCTCGTCGCTCTGCCGCCGCCGTTCTAGGGGTGGTGCAGAGGTCTGCGTGGGCTTCGACGGGGTGTGTGGGTGGATCTGCGGTGGTTCAGGGGCTGAATCTGCTGGGTAGGGATGGGGTGAGGGGGTGGGGCAGTGACTATGTAAGAGATGGGGCTGGAGAGTTGGGGGAGAGGTTGGGCAGGGGCGGTGGAGGACGGCAGCGGTGGCCGGAGGTAGCAGGAGCCGGTGGTGGAAGTGGGGCTGGGGTAACCGGGAGAGATGTTGCGGTTGAGGTTGGTGTTGGCCAGAGAGAGGATGGCGGTGGTATGCAGCGGCGGTTTCCGGTGGTGGTTGTGGCGGGTGTAACTGTGACCGGTGACGGGTAGTAGAGACCGGCGGTGGTGGATAACAGTGGTTTCCGGTGGTAAAACTGGATAAATGTCGTAAAGTAATCGTGATTGTAGTCACTATGGTCACCGTAGAGATGTCATTGTGGCGGCGGTGGTGGCGGCGGTGACCGGTGGTCACTTTGGGAGTGTCACTATAGCGGGTGTCACTGTAGAGATGTCACTGTGGCGGCGGTAGCGGCGGCAGCGGTGACCGGTGGTCACTTTGGAGGTGTCACTATAGCGCGTGTCACTGTAGTGGCGGCGGCGGCAGCAATGACCAGTGGTCACTTTGGTGGTGTCACCATAATGAGTGTCACTTCAAATTAAGGGTAATATAGTAACTTTAAAACTGACTAGTCACATTTTTGAAAATTAAACAAAAAGGTCACTTTTTTGTCATTTGTCCACTTTTTAGTAATATTGAGGTCAAAACCCCATAACTATTTATAGTATAAATAACATTTACCTTGACAGAATAAAAACATAAAAATGGGGAGTCAAAGTTATATCGTGCTCGCCCAAAAAAATTGTGTTCTTTTTTGGATACTACCTTTGAAAGATCTTCAAAAATTACAACTATATACTGGACTACTTTGATCTATAACAAAGAAATTAAATGCAGAGTCTCTAGAAATGATAACTATAATGAATCCCCCCCGTTCATTGACACAAAATTGAGGGAGTTTATTGCATAGTAAATGATTTAATTGACAAGTGCATGTTGAACTTTCTAGATTCAAATTGGTGTTTACATCATACTCCAGTTCCTACTCCGTATGCATTTGTAAATCCTGGTGCTTCTACGGTGCTTTACAAAAATAATGGGTTTGGGTGCATATGAAAGTGTCCCAAATCCCAACTACAAATACCATCTATTAATCTACTAAATTCATCACTAAATTCTTCATCATTTATGCGGAGAAATTTCTATTTCAACTTTTGGTTAGGCATATAACCTTATAAAGTTGATTTTTTTAAGCCAATATTTTTTTTAGAATTTTAAGCCAACATATTAAAAAAATAATTTTAAAAACAAAGTACTGAACTTTTATTTCACAAATTGAATAAAATGTATGAGATCAGAGCCGTTATGATAAAACTAAGTTCGGACCCTTATTCGAGAAACATTTAAATACTTATGTAAATCCTTCATAAGCTGATACATAACTCAAGAAAATTCTTTCGAAAAACTCAAGTAAACCGAAATATTAGGGGGGTGTCCTCAATTAGGATTCCGTAGGATTTTAATGGATTTTTAGAATTCAGGTGTCCTCAACTTGGAATGTGATGGAATCCTTCAAAATCCCAGTGTCCTCAAAATGTCCATGGATTTTTAAAGTCTTGGATTTCTATGGATTTT